TTCCACCCGCTTTCAGAAGCTGCGCTGTAATTCCATCCTCGCCCGGGGCCTTGCCGTTTTTAAGGTGGTGGAGAGCCATTCTAATCTCTGGTGGGTCTTTTTTTTTTTTCTTGTGGGGGCCGCACCAACCCCCCCTTCTCCCTCGTCTTTCCCACTTCTGTTTTCAGTTTTGAGAGTGTTTTTTTTTTAGTATTAAAGTTGCGTAAGTCTCGCCGCATGCATTTGGAGATCTGTCTGTTCAGTTGCCTGTATGCTGTCAAATCTGTTGACGATTGCAGCCTCATCTCCCGTCTAACAGCCATGAGATTAAGAGTGTGATCGGAGAGTTTTTGTGTTATTCTGCGGCGGGTCTTGCAGAACTTAGCTCATGGACAGTTTCCACGAGCTTGTCATTCATATCGTCCACTGCATTGCAATCTTCTTGGCACTGAAACGGTTACGTAACCCGAGCTGAAAGGTTTCGGGATTCTGGATTAGAGCACAAGGGGGACGGAGCGTTGACTTCACTAGACGAGACCTCTCCAACTTAACGTTTAGGTTCAGTGTGCCTCTAACTATTCGGTGATCGCTGCCAGTTTTCACCCTTGCGATCACCGAGACATCACTGAACAGTTGGCGTCTGGTCGTCATAATGAAGTCAATCTCCTTTTTTGTCGAACGGTCGGGGCTCGACCAGGTCCACTTCCTGTGGGGCCGCTTCTGGAAGAAAGAGTTCATCATAAAGAGTCCCTCTTTCTCCATAAAGTCGACCAGCTGCTGGCCCCTTCGGTTCTGTTGTAGTCTCCCATCAACACCGTGTAGTGGGTTTTGGAGGAATGGATGGCCCTGGAAATATCCTCATACATTTCCTCCACCTCCTCATCGGGATGTGCCGAGGTTGGTGCGTAAACCTGTATGACCTTCAGCGAATACCGTTTTGTGATTCCGAGTATCAGGTACGCGACCCTCGTGACAAACTCCCAATCTTTGGTTGTGGACGATAAATCCGAAACCTCCTTGGGACAGATGGTCGCCCTCTCGGTGATAGAACAAGTTGCCGGACTTGAGGATTGCCGTGTCCTCCCCCCTCTCTTCGATCGGATAATCCAATAATATGCCAGCGCAACTTGTCTACCTCTTCTTCCAGCTCCAGTATCTTCTCGTCAGTCCTCAGGGTGCGTGCGTTATATGTTGCCAGGTCGAGTCGTCGTAGGTGGCAACCGAACCTCCACCGGAGATTCTTAGCACCGCCCCTGCCCCGCCGTTACCATGGTCGCCACCGTACCCAGGAATAGCGGGGCCGCCGGGGACTGGGGGCCGTTTGTTTGCGTCGTTATTCATGGGGGGATATTTGCAAAATTTTGAAGAACGTATACATTGCCAATGTATTAGATATTCTGTGGAATCTAGTAACTGGTATTACAAGCTTATGTTTATTCTTAGTGTTTAAAGTATGAACATCTTTATTTTTATGAAAGATATTTATGTTTTTATGTACATTTTCATAAATTTAATATGTTTATTTCTTTAAAAAATTCTCTAAGGGACTCTTTACAATTTAAGTTATAAATTGCCCGTACGGCTCTCTTTTGCAAAACAAATATGACTTCAATGTTAGTCGCATTACCCGATAGCAAGATTCCATAAGACATTACGCTATGAAAGTAATTAAAATAAACTGATCTAGCTGCTGAACATTGGTGATACTTCTAACCCCTTACAGCGTATGCTACAGAACTAAATCTGCCTTGTAATTTTCAGATAAGAACCCACATAGCTGGCTCGAGGTGAAGGGTCGTTATCCGGAGGATGGAAACGGAATTATTCTTTAAATTTCCCATATTCAGCAGTAGACAAAGAAAAAAATATATAATCAGAAATATAATTAGGAAAAAAGAAGAACGAAGAAAAGGTTAAGAAAAGCGCTTTAGGAGTAAAACCCAGCTAAAAGAAATAAAGCAGCTAGTAGCAGATTCCGAAGCCTAATTATGAACGTATATTGTTGATCTTTCTTTATGTAATGCAGAATATATATTATCAGTATGCATATATATATATATATATATATATATATATATATATATATATATATATATATATATATGTAACGTAATTAACGCACACCCTCAGACACCCCAATTAGTATATGATGTTATAATCATAATACATACACTGAATTTTTAGTAAAAAAATTTTATGCACTGATTATTTATCAAATTAGTTATACTAATTCCGGCGGAATGTTGTGGTCACAGTACAAATCCACGAACGCAAAGACTTTAACGTGCTCAATATAAAGTTCATTTTTCTTTATTTTTATTGAAAGACAGAATTAGTAATAATACAAATAAAACTGCACTCTTAAAAGTCTTATTGCCTTAAGTTACGGTCCATTTCAGTTTGTTTTGACTGTACAGATTTAGTGTTACTGTAATTTACGTAGTTTTAATTATTTTTGGGATAAAAAATTACCTATATTAAAAATGTTAGGAATCGATTTAGTAAACGATTCTGAACAAACTACTTTCTCAAAGTGCGTTAATTATGTTACATGTTGTATATATATGGGTTACTGGAAACTCGACGTATTCCTGACTGGACGTGACAGAGGAGTCAAAATGCAATAAATTTTACCTACATATGTATAGCGAAATGAAAGTGGTTCCCAACATTTTTTTTATTTTAGATTTTTTAATAAATTTCCCAGATTTCTTCATATTTACCAAAATTTAAAAAAAATCTGCTTATTGAATGGTATTACTATTTACTTTTATTCAAAGCTGACAGATAAAGCTACAAAGCTCATTAGTATCTGAAATCACTTAACACTTTAAAGTCAAGATCCAAAAATCAGTTTCAAAATTTTAAATTTTTAAATTGTTACAGGTTAGTACTGACTCATATCTCAAAATTTTACTATGGCACTAAGTGTACAAATCACTTAATTATCTTCCTCATTTAATAAGCTATCCAAAAAGTTATGAATGTCAATACAAACCCATGGACTACATAATAAAATTTACATTTGACTTAGTACTGGTAGAGCTCATTGGGGAAAATTAAAACAATTACTCAGACATTATTAATTTTAATTATAATCAAATCACCTTATTACAAAATGTTTTGTATATTGTTTTAATTAATTACACATCTTGTTCAATGTGTTGCCCTCGGTTTCGAATGCATGTTCGAATTCGCTTTCGTACTTCCGATTTTGTGATCCTTGATGTGATCGTTAATCTCATCTGATCCGCCGCATTTATTATTCTCTGCTTGAGTTCTTCTTCTGAATTAACTGGAGTCACATAAACTAAATCTTTTATGTGACCCCAAATGTAAAAATCTAGGGGCGTCAGATCGGGGCTTCGTGCCGGCCATGGAATCGGTCCACTACGCCCTATCTACCGGTTCGGGTAATTTTTATCGAGCAATTGTCGGATTGTTACTCGAAAGTGGGCTGGACATCCGTCATGCTGGTAAATTATGTTCTGTCTTCTTTCATCAGGGACATTTGTCAGCAATGCCGCTAAATGATTTTTTAAAAAGTCTTCATACAGTTCTCCGTTTAAAGTTCTTGGTAAAAAATGTGGGCCAATTAAATTATCATTGATGATACCCATCCATACATTAACTGAGAACCTGCGCTGGGATGCGGTCGGTTTCAGTTTTTTTGGATTTCCATGTACCTTTGGTGCCCAGTAATGCAAATTGTGGTAGTTTGTAATACCATCACGGTCGAAACATGACTCGTCCGTCCGCAGAATGTTTTTTAAAAAATTTTCGTCTTCGGCATCGGCATTTAGCATAAATCGACAAAATTCAAGCCTTCTCGCCGGGTCTCTCTCTTCCAATGAATGGACGGGTTGATAATGATATGGATGTCGGCCCGATAAATGTACTACAGACCAGACTTTCCACTGTGACATACCAAGTTCACGCGCTACGATATTCGTCGAGGTATTAGGATCGACAATAAAGCGTTGCAGTATCGCCTCCTCGTCCTCAGCTGTGTACCTTCGTAAACGACCAGTGTCACTCTGCCTTCTGTTAACGCTGCCGGTTTCAGATATCCGCCGATAAGTCGCTCCGAAGACACTGACTTGTGGTAGACGGCGGTTGGGAAAACGACGTTGGTATTCCCTTCGGGCTTTAGCTGCGTTACCATCACACAACCCGTAACAATACATGATGTCAGCGTATTCAGGATTAGAATACGCAGCCATTGTCAGTTCCACACAAAACAGCACAACACAGGGCGAAATGCTCAGCAAAAATTAGGGAAGTAGCCAGTTAACAAAACACTTGCTTGCGCGAAGTAGAGTTGAAACGAACTAATGGTAATAACAATTTTGCGACGCCCGGATCCCGATCATGCCCTACGTGAACATGAGCGACCAATCACAAAGCGCGCCGGTGAATTTAGAGGTCAAGCGCAGGTAAAAACGACCCTAGATAAACGAAAAGGGATTTTCTTTACTCTTTATTCACTAAGTCAAATGTGAATTGTATTTACTCATAAGTTTCTACTGGAATTCATACCTTTTTGGATAGCTTATTAAATGAGGAAGATAATTAAGTGACTTGTACACTTTTAGTAAATTTTGAGATTGAGTCAGGTCAATTTAAAAATTTAAAATTTTGAAACTGATTTTTGGCTCTTGACTTTAAAGTGATAAGTGATTTCAGATACTAATGAGCTTTGTAGCTTTATCTAACTTTCAGCTTTGAATAAAAGTAAATAGTAAAACCATTCAATAAGCAGATTTTTTAAAATTTTGGTAAATATGAAGAAAGAAAGCTGGGTAATTTATTAAAAAATCTAAAATAAAAAAATGTTGGGAACCACTTTCATTTCGCTATACATATGTAGGTAAAATTTGTTGCATTTTGACTCCTCTGTCACGTCCAGTCAGGAATACGTCGAGTTTCCAGTAACCCTGTATATAGTGTGGACAGACGACAGAACCTTCTAAAGTATTAATAATAGAAGTTTTGGACTGAGAGTATCCTTTTTTACTTACGTCTAGAAGCTTGCACAGATCGTATAGTAACTTCTTGATCTCTAAAAGAAAAGCGTCAAGTTCCTCCAGCTTCTTCTGCAGTTCGATGTGTCTTTGTTCTTCCCTTTTTATCTCGGCTTTCAACTCATTTATAAGATCGTGACCTCTGAGGAAGAGCAATTAAAGTAGGGATTAAAACAGCAGTGAATTGATTGAAGTACTGAACTTATATACATTAGGTGCATATTTATTTAATGTGTGGAGATTGTTATTTGATTTTTTACATCAAGACGGTTTTTGGCATGTGGCATTAACAATTCTTATGTCACAGGTCGATGATTAATGGGTGGGGTGATGGAAGGTAAGCCACTTAAGACCGATTTACATTTCGACAAGTACTGTAGCGAGTTTAGTTACAGCGCAGTTGACTGGGCAGTAGCGTTCAAACAATGTCTTCGTGGGGAGCTTAGTTAAGGACATTAGTTCATAGAGTTCGTTGGAGTATGACGTTTCAAGACTACAGAATTCTTCTTGTTTTCGTTTAAGACGGTTCTAGGATTACGTCAAGAATTAATATAGTCGGAGAAATGGTACTGGTTGTTGTTAAAGAAATTTTTAAGAATTTTCATGAGTGCAGCATCTCAAACAGGTTTCATTTTATAATTTAAGTTTTAATAATGAAATGGACGGAAGATGTCATGAATAAATTCTTACAGGAGTATTTAGAACACGAATGTTTATATAATAGTAGAATACATTCAATAAACAGTGCCGTACAAACTTTGTGTTTGCAAGTTAACTCGCTACTGTACTTGTCAAAGTGTAAACCGGTCTTAACTTAAACATTAGATTTCAATTGAATGTGGTAAGCATTAAAGCGGAAAGGTTAGCTAAATCGTTTAATCTATAGTTTAACAACAAGTCTGAAATGTATAGCCATGTGGTTAAAAAAAAATTGTACAGTTTGCGAGTTTTATGTTAAGTTAGGTGAAAGATATTTTGTGAACAAGTACGAAATGTTTTTTATATATATGTGGTGGAGCCATGATGTCCGAATAACGTCTACTATATCATTGCAACTATGTTGTAGCACGAATGGGTCGGCACAACTCGAGAATGACCAGGCTCTCACACAATCCAGAGTGTTTCGTATGGTGAGTGTAGAGAACCCGAGACCCTTTTTGCTGCATTACGTTTAATCCAAAAGGGTGACAATGCATCCTTATTTTGATCGAGGATAAATGTTACGCCTGGATACCTATAGGCACTATGGCCACTGTGTCCGCTTATTGTGCTTATTCTATAAAAAATGCAAATATTATTTTAATGGTACATTCTTAACTCCAAAATAGATAGGAATGGCTTCCGCAATTCATCTCTAATTTTTTTATTAGGGAGATGTTGCAAGCCATCTATTATTTCAGTCTTCTTCTGTCGTCTCTTACGACAGCCACGGGACGATATGGGTTAGAGGATATTCTTACATCGCCACTATATAGAAGTATACGACGTTAAGTTATAATGATTTCTTTTATTTGCTCAAACATTACACATTTAAATAAAACTAGTTTTTAAGTATTTTATCGAGTATATTAACTTATTTTATATTCCCGACGTTTTGAGCACTTTACAGCACCCATGGACTGAGGTGATCTGCTATTGAAATTAAAAAAAAATCCTAATTTCAATAGAGAAGATGGCTGGATGCTTGGGATCCTTTAATTAATAAAATAAATCCCTACTCAAGATTCAAGATACTATAATAAGTTCATACTGCGTAAATTGGGAAAAAATTATTTAATAATTTTAATCTGGAGGTAGCCGTGGTTAACTATAATACGAGTATTGGGACGTCGAACATCTCAGTTCCCCCCGTGACTATGAGTGCTGTGAATTGCTCGAAACGTCGCGAATATAAAATAAATTAATACACGCGATGATATCCGTAAAGAGTAGTTTTATTTAAACGTTAAACGATACTTTACTCGTCTTTATCCTTAACGGAGGCGAATTTAAAGACCTCCAGCTCCGCTATGAGCGTAGTTTGTGTTTTCTCCAACTGAAGCTTTTCCTCCTCTGTCGTCTGCTGAAGATAATTCAGTCGTTTCGAAGTCTCCCGCTGGGCTCGGAATCTGTCAAAAACTTCTTCAGGTTCTGTTACACCTAGGAGATGTTATAAATTTTTTAATAAAGTTAGTAAACATAAGTTAGTGATACCAGTTTCTTGACAATCAGTAATTTATTCGGCAGTACGCTATTACAACTAAGTCCCAGAAAATATACAAGGTCTCTCCATTACTAAGTTTAAATATTTCATTTAACAAAAGTTGTATCATGGTTGAATAATGGTTGATAATAATTAATAATCCCTGTAAATGAGGTGATCGCTTTAGAGTTGTTTCATAATTTTAAGTTTTGTAAGTAATTCGTACCTTCTGTCTTCTCATTGTATGTTTTACTTTGAAAAAAAGTCCGCTGGTTTTATTATTGGTTCTTTCCTGGATAGAGGAGATATTTTTTTTTCATAATTTTAAGTTTTGTAAGTAATTCGTACCTTCTGTCTTCTCATTGTATGTTTTACTTTGAAAAAAAGTCCGCTGGTTTTATTATTGGTTCTTTCCTGTATAGAGGAGATATTTTTTTCCGAAACAACGGTAAAAGTAAACAATAACTTTAAAAAGTTCTATTACATTATATTTAAAAAAATATTTTATTCTAATCTTTTACGATGATGATGTTAATATCTTATTCATTTCAGTCACGGTAACAAAGTTTGTGCATGCATAAACATACACTAGTGTAGTGGTATTAAAATGTCGACCCCTAATGCCTTCACTTTCGCAATACCTTCTCCTTTACCCCCCCCCCCCCCCTCACCCCGCCACACTTACAGAAGGCGCTAATTTGGATGTAGGTTATCTGGGACACCAATGGAATTGTTAATATATCACGTGCTCGGCGGTCGCGGTTCGCGAGGAAAGAAAAAAAAATATTTCGAAGACATGTGAAGTTCGCCAACACACATTGGGACAGCTCAGCGGACTTTTCCTTGTCCTAAGACCCTCTTAAAAATGTGAGGGCTGTGCCCATCTGTAGGACAAATTAGGCTGTAACTTTATTTTACTTTATCTTTGCCAAACTTGAAATTGTATGCTAATATGTTAAAACTAGCAATTTATGTCTTTGCGATAGAAGTGAATTCCGGTGAATGGATAAAAGTGAGACAAATTTTTATTTCTTATGTAAAATAATACTAGTGCCAGACTCTCTCGTCGCTAGGATAGCCAGGGATATATGACGGTCATTAACTATCTCGAATATGGCGTATCAAAATTATGAGGCAAGGCAACACATTACTCTATATATACATAATATATAACTCTCCCTACAATCAAACTCATATCAAAGTAAATTAATGAACTCTATACGTACTAAAGAAAATATGTAGGATTTTACAGTTAAATGATTTTTGTATCTACACGTTTCTAAAGCGGTTTTTACCGGTAAGTTTCATCAAGCGTTGAAAGATCTCTTCCATCTGAGCAGCTGCTGACGCATCTTCTGCGGCTAGTTCTCCGTTCACGGAACCATTTGTTTCTTCCTGAACTACCGGTCGCACTGAAATTATTATTAATTCCTTTATAGATATAAATTGAGTAGGTATAAATTTATATTCCGTAGTTGGGAAGTAACCTGACTTAGGGAGACGTAGGGACAGTTCCGTGGCGCAGTGACTTAACAGTGTGTTGCGGCGCTGAGGGCTTCGGGGTCAAATACCGCTCAAAATAAATATTTGTATGGCCTAGAAATTATTGTTCCAGGTCTGAATATTTATCCTTGTGAAACTTTTGTGTGTAATAATAAAAATAAATAGTTCAATATGCTCACGGTCGGATCCGACCACGACGATATTCCGTCAAATTTCAAGCGGTCGGATTCGACCACACCCACCCACAGCATTCTAAACCATAAAAACTTATATTTAGAGACTACTTGTCTATGAAGAAGTTTGATACTATAGACTCCATGTGAAATTTTCTATCCTTTAATGCAATAAAAAACTCAGTTAGTCGTAGATCGAACGTAATAGAGTAGAACGTAGATTATTTATAATCTACGTTCATTTCGTACGACTGTTAGGTGTGGCGTGTTATTGTGTTGATTTTTGGATTTTTCTAGTGTGTTATTAGTGTTATAGTGTAGTGTTTTATTGTAAAATTATTATAAAATCTTTTGTGTGAATATGATTTATCTTTTTACGTAAATAATTTCGAGTAATATATAGAAATAGTTATGATATTCACGCTGCTGTCCTGCGCTGGATATGTACATTATTTACTATGAAAATACAATTAAAATCCATTTGTAATTAAGTAAAAGCACTAAAAAAAGTAATATAACATAATGAATAAACAGAAACAAGTATTATATTGAAATTTATAATTAATTTTATTGAAAATAAATGTACGACGAATTCCATGTTAGGTTATTTTTAGATCGCGACGACGACGCGTCACGCTAAGCGCGCAAGCGATGCGAACATTTTAGCTGGGGACTGAGGGGCTAGCGCGTTTTATTAATCAATTATCATTCATCATCATTATAGATCATCACATGTCCACTGCTGAACACAGATCTCCCCTAAGGAATGCCACAAAGCACAGTTCTGGGCCACCTGCATCCAATGACTTCCTGAATCTCTTAATGAATGTGTTAAATTTTTGCATATTAAAACTTAGCCGTTGACTATTATCCCGCCAAATAGTTGTAGCGTTGAACTCGAATATGTTAAAACACACTGGCTTGGAAAGTATTTAATTTCAGAATGTGTGCCATTTTTGACTGAAAAAATCAATCTACGTTAAGTTGACTTTATTTCAACTAAGGATTTTCAAGAATAAAATCCGTTATCCGTCCAACATACTGATTGATTCGAGTATACCTTTGTGGCCGTGGTTCGGAGCACCTTATGTTTTTATTGGTCTAGTTTGATGGATAGACATCTACATCTATCCTCAATTAAGAATCAAAATGCAGATGCGTGGTCACCCCTGAGGGATAAGATGGAATGCCCCTTTTCCAGTAAAAAGGGTTATCGGTTCTCTGCCAAAAAATTGGAGAAAGCTTTACCAGCAGGTGGAAATATCCTTTTCTCGAGTTTCTCCAGCTCTAGGCGTCGCTCGTTGAAGCGCTGAGCGAAGTACGCGCGCTCCGCAGCACGGCTATGCTCTGCAGCATGGGCCCGCGCTGCCTCGTTAGCCACCGCAGCTGCCGCTCTTATGCGTGTTTCTGCTGCCTCAGCACGGACCCACTGCCAGAAAGCACTTCGTTCACACAGAGTAAACTGAATATTTCATATATTTCTCGATGTCATATTAGCCCGTAATCTAAATTAACTATGAAATGGGACTGCGAAACACCTCAGTTTCCTTATAACCAAGGGTGCGGTTAAGGATCGAAAAAGAGAATAAGTAGTAAGTTGTGTTTAATCAAATGCGATGAAATCAAACTGAGATCAGACAGAGTAAGATGATATACTTTATTACTATATAATTCTACGAGAATCAGCTAACTCAGCACCAAGAGGTTGACAAAAGCGAGCAATTTGATTTTAAGGGATAGAGAACTGTAAATCTACGGGTAACTGATGTCAACAATGTCACTGGCCGAAGAACGAGAAGAGTGCCCTTTGATAAAGTTCGAGAAAAGTAAACTAGGTTCCAATTCTATTTGATGCGTCAGCATGAACCCCCTAACAGAAGAATGCAGTTTAAAGTTATTTAATGAAGGTAGGACTCTAATTCTAGCCACATCCTTCTATTTCTTAATTCCTGTATTCGTAAACACAGTTAGTACATCCTGCTTCTATGCCCTGAATTATCCGTTGAAATATTTATTGACCAACAAAGTCTAAAATAGGACGTGTAATATATGTTCTTACCTAGTAGATTATCATCATCTTAATGATTTCTTAAATTTATACGAATAGGTACTTAATTTTTTTCAAATTATTTTATCGATATTGAACATGTCCACTTTGGAAAACTGCAGTCTGTAAAGATGTCAAGTTAAATACAAGATTGTCCCAATTATTATATCTTCGTTATTACGATTTCTGTGATTATATCACTTTCAAATTTGATGATATTCTTCGCAAAAGAATACCGATTCCTGCCAAAGTTGATTCGCGAGGCTATTGAAGTTAAACAACATCCTAATTTCAATATAGAAGATGGCTGGCTGCTATCATCTGCTTGGGATTATATAATTAATAAAATTGAATCCAAGCCCAAGTATGCCACTGCAATACTCAAGATGTATTGTAAGGTGGTTCCGCGTAGAACAAAAAGCAATATTCAAAAGCTGAAGTAATACCTCAATTGTCCCCGTGACCATGGGTGCTGTAAAGCACCCGAAACACCAGGAATAAAAATAAACATAATCGATAACATCCGTAAGACTAGTTTAGTTCATCATCATGTTCATTAGCCTGCGTAGCCCACGACTCGCCTGACTCGTTACCGTCGCGCTTGGCAGACGGGTTGACGCGATCAAATTAAATGTACAAAGCTCAAAAGTCAATGGAGAAGTGAAAAATTTATTTTAAAAAAACTTTAAGAAAGTGATAGTATTACAATATAAATTTAGTTCAAGAATTTTTTCGAAATATGTAATTTTGCCAAAGCTGTGCGTTATACGAGGGCAACGCAAAACGCCGCTACAGCGCTAAAACCCTTTGCAGACAATCTTTATAATTAATTTCAGCTTAATAATCCATTGGGCTATGTCGGTCATTCTGGTTCTACTGCGGATATCCATTTCGCTCGCGCAAGAACTGACAATCGATGTGGAAAAATGATTCTAGAGTGGTAGCCTCATACCAGTAGGCGTAGTGTAGGGCGACCCCCCACTAGATGGAGTAACGACCTAATAAGACATGCAGGAAGTCAATGGATGAAAGGGCTGTAAGGATGATGATGATGAATATTAAATAATAGTTAAGAGTTTTGACTGCAAATAGTTATGCTTGAATACATTTACAGCTTATGTGAGCTTCTGTGTTCAATTTAATACTAACTTCTAATTTTTTGATTTCTTCTTGCTGCTTCTTCAGAAGTTCTTCGATGCGACTTAGAGAACTTTCAAATTTAACAGAGTCTTCTACTAAGGCTTGCCTGAAAACACGGTCAATCGTTTGAATATATTTCATTTTTAGGGCTACGTATATCAAAAAGAAAAAGATGAACCGTAGGATCCCTTTTAATCACATAACAATTAAAGCGGGTTGGCAACCCGCCTGCACAGCGAGGCAACTATGGCAAAAATCTCCCTTATAAGGTGATCGATGTGTAGGCCTATTGTCTGCAGTGGATTTTTGATAGACTTATGTGAATGCAAATGAATTTCAAACCGAAACACAGTAATGCGCGCCACTACAACTCTCCAGCTGACTGCAGAAAAAGGTAAACATACCTATGACTATAAATCGAAACTAAAACGTAAGTTGTTTGTATTTTATTTACCTGATTGAGGAATATTTCTTCTTGACTAACTCGGCTTCCGTCCACTGAATCAGAACTTTGTGTATTTCGTTTTCTAAATGAGAGACGTGCTGAAAAATTACAGACCACTACAATGTCATTGTGTAAATCCGGTGAGAATCGTGGTTGGTTACATTTTGAAGTTTGACGTTTAGTTTCGTTGTACTGTGTTATTATTTTGTTTAAAGTGTAGTGTGGAAACCTACAGATGAGTTGCAGCCCTGAGAACTAAGATAGAACAGCCTGTTATACTGTGTTGTTTCTTATTAGACACAGTGTGCCATGTGCTAGAGTGTTGTTAATGTCCAGACGGACTCCTGGTCAGAAAAGGAGTCCTACAAGCCTAGAACACAGATAAGAGTATGCTCGATACTGGTAAATGGTAATTTTTACGTGGTAGAGCCATGCTGCAGTTATAGTAGTATAGTTGTAGCACGAATGGGTCGGCTCGACCGGGGAAGGACCACGCTCTCGCAGAATACCAGCGTAAAATAGTAGCTTAATGCTGCTGTGTTTCGTATGGTGAGTGTAGAGAACCGGAGACCCTTTTTACTGGAAACGAGGCATTCCATGTTAGTCCTCACAGGTAACAACGCATCTGCGTTTTGATTCGTAATCGAAAATAGATGTAGATGTCTATAGGCCACAGCAGCCATTTACCATCAGGTGCACTGTGTGCTTGTTTGTCACCTTTAGTCTATAGTGACGAAGATAATGCAGAGCCCAATATCATCACGTGGGTGACGTGAGTGAGAGTGAAATGAAACAGACGGACAGGCGCATCTTCCTAATAACAACCTAAAATTATAATAAACGACGGTTGCCACACCGCCTGTCAAGTGTAGCAACCTTGGCAAATATCCCGCATTATGGGGAAATCTATATGGGCCTGTGTTAAGCAGTTAACTTTTCAAAAGGGAATAATTGTTGGATTGATTGAAATTCATTTTTGTTTTCAAGTTGGTCACAGTTGTTCACTTAAATCGGCAAAGCTTCCATCATCTAATAAGAAGGAAAAAAACATTGGTAGCAAAAATAGGCTTCGTTAAACTAGCATCAGCCCTATGAATTACCCTCGACGCGACGCGTAGATGTCGAATAAATATTCTATGACAATTTCTAAATAATGGCAACTCAAGATTTTTATGTCACAGATGTATGCGACGCAGAAGCAAACTCTCGATGCTACTAATCTTTACGTTTTTAAATGGCAGTAAAAGTAGCATTGCACGTTCTAAAAATAGAGATACTCGTATCTGCACAATGCATTTACAAGGACAACGGTAAATTTAAAAAAAAAAGTAATTACATCGTTTTATTAATATTCAAATAACATACAAAGACTATTGAAGCAACTTAAACCGATTTTATATTATACTTCCTTAAATGAGGGGGGGGGGTAATTTAAGGTTACTGTGAGCGGCAGCTACTAAACATAACCGTGACAAACTCCACAACCAGGATGTGGTTGTCAATAAACGTGAAGGTATTTGCCGAACCGATAGGATTTATATATACATATTCGTTGCCGTTTGGTGGTGGCGAAAGAACCTAATCCTTCCAATAGATGACAGTATAACTTTATTTTTATGAGCCGACTGCCATACATGGCGATTAAAGGAAATTCTCCCTTCAGCGGAAGATGAGGACTGGTGAAGAAGATCAAAATCTAGTCGCTAGCATAATCAATTCAAAAAATGCATAGTTATTCTTTTCCATAGAATAAGAGGTGATAAACGAGCACACTGTCCACCTAGGTAACTAGGTTGGATACTGTGGCCCATAAACATCTACATCTATCCTCGATTAAGATTAATTGGCTTATATAGTTTATATAAAAGTAAAAGTTACAGCCTATATACGTCCCACCGCTGGGCACCGGCCTTCTCTCATTTCTGAGAGGGTTTTAGGGTAAGGAAGTGTCCGGCACACTGCCCCAATGCGTGTTGGCGAACTTTACATGTCTTCGATACATAACATTTTTTCTTTATCCTCAGACGTGCAGGTTTCCTCCCGATGTTTTCCTTCACCGCCGAGCACGTGGTAAATCAGCAATTAAAACAATTTCATTGGTGCAGGCGGGGGTCGAACCCGGGTTTACAGCGTGCGTTAACCATCTGAGCTACCACGGCTCTATAGCTTATATGACTATAACTTATTATCTGCGTTCATTGAAAACACGAGTGAGATCGTTGATCTAGGATAGGTAGCGGATGCAGCGTCATACGTATATCTTATCGCCGGCCGTTGCAACTATGCAAATGGTGCTCCATAGTTAAAAATGATAGCAAGCTAAAAATAATGCTATCGTAATATTTTGTTATGTTTTATATATGAATTTCTACTTCTATTATGTACTAGCTGTTATCCGCTTGTAACTTAGGGTTTTAATTTTTTAAATTACAACATTTATTATTCCTTATAACATCAGCTATCTGCTAGTAGAAGGGACTTACCCGTCAGAATTGGTTTAGCCCGTTCAGAGATTAGCCGGTACTATACTAACAGACAGACAGACAAAACTTCAAAAATTGTGTTTTTGTTATAAGTACCGTATTTACTTTCATGTTTTTAGTAAAAAGATGTTATTTTGACATTACAAACAGGCACTACAATTTTATTTATTTGTATAGATTTGCAAACGGCTAGCTAGGCCAATGTAAATAGATAAGGGTAATATGTAGTAGGTATATAACCGTGGAAGTGTAGTGAAATAAACTCAAAATAAAGAAATATCTTGAAAATATTCTAAACGGATACTAGCAAAGCAAAGCTCTTTAATTGAAAGCTTGAGTTACGTTTAATCAGCTAGGTATTAAGCTACTATTTTACGCTGGTATTCTGTGAGAAAGTTGTTCTTCCGCGGTCGAGCCGACCCATTCGCGCTACAACGATAATACCTATACTCTTAGCTACAGCATCGATCTACTACGTTAAACGTGCGTCTGTCTTTTTTGAAATTTTTTGAATGGCTAACCTGTAATGAAATGTAATTGTGTAATGAAACTTCACGAACAGATAGAGCGCAATACCAGGATTGATATAAGCTATTTTACCCGAAAACCTTGGAGATTTTATTGTGAAATGGAAAAAATTATAAAATTAATAGTATAATATGAAGATAAGTTCAAAAAAATCAAAAAGATGTTACATCAAAAGATCCCACTAAGGCGAAGCAGAAGCAGGAGAAGCCATGTTTGTTGGAACTTTTACTTTTATTACAATGTAACAGAATACAATTGAATTGAATTAATATATTAATTCGAATGGCCGAATGTAAAAGCTCAAGGAGCTCATAAGTAGTAATAAGCTCTCTGAGCTCAGGAGTAATAAGGATATCCGCAGTAGAACCAGAATAGCCAACATAGCGCACGGATCAGTAAGCTGATGTGGCAATGGGCCCGCTGTATAGCTATAAGACTCGTCGTTGTTGTCCTCTGCAGGGCATAATGCCGTGCAGGTCTCGGCCTCGGAGTGTACCCCTTTACCCGGATGTTCCTCACGGCACACTACAGTGTGCCGGTCCTGGGCGCCTTGATGGTGAAGGCGTTGTTTTAACGACTATTGTCGCGGTCGGTTAAATTTTTCATTAAAATAGGTTATCTCGTAATTTGTGTTTAACATAAATTACTTGTCTAAGTTGGCCTTTCTGCGGCATTGTGGGATTTACTCAGACTCCCTAATCTATATAGGGAGGAGTTCTCTTGGATAGGGTCGCCCGTCCGGCGGCCGAGAGTGCAACGGCGCGAAGCCGTTGAGATGTTCGCGTGGCCCGTTGTCGGCGCGGTCAAACATACCGCGCTCCAGCCGGACCACGAATTCATGCAGGCTCTTAAGATTGGCCGCTATGACGTCATTACGGACGTAGCGACCCGCACCGACTATAGTTCTTAATGACAAACTCTGCTGGGCCTGAAGTCGCCGCTTCTGACGATCGCTCAGGAGTGCATACCAGGCCGGAGCAGCGTATGTTAGCAGGGGTCTCATGTAGGTTTTATAGATGGTTATCTTCGACTTTGTCGGTAACTTGGACGTCAGGACAGGGCGGAGCATTGCCCGCGCACGTCGAGCTTTGCGTATAGCAGAGTCAACGTGCGCAGTCATACGCAACATCCTGTCAATCCGACATCCAAGGTAGGTCACGGCCTTCTCATATGCGATCTCCTGGCCTCCGAGGGTTAGCGGTGGTGGTAGATTTCTATAGCGGCGAGTGATTAGAGCGGTCGTCTTGCTAACATTGACGGCCATCCTCCACTCATCCAACCATGGTGGCAGCAGATCCAGCAGACGTTGCATCCTGGCAAGCTGCTATGTGGGCTCTTTTGGACGACGTGAAGTATGCGCTGTCATCCGCAAACAGCGCTAGTTCGACGTCGTCCTCCCATTCGTGCAAGTGTCCTGCCAGGGTAGTTATGTCATTAGTGTATGCCGCGTACAGGGCTGGAGACAGACAGCTGCCCTGTGGCACACCAGCTGTTATGGTTTTTATTGCGGACACGGCGTCCTCTACGCAGACGTAGAACTTCCTGCCTTCCAGGAAAGACGCCACTAGCCGCAATATAGCAGGAGGGATACTTGTTTGTTCGTCTAGCTTGTAGAGTAGTTCTCGATATCGAGAAAGACGCCCAACAATATGCGGCCACGGTTGTGTTCGGCCGCAAGCAGGTGCAGCACTCGGGTCAGCTGTGTTGCTGTGGAGTGACCCCTCCTGAATCCATGTTGCTCCGCCCGAAGTTGGATGCACGGGCGGATACGTCTCAACAGTAATCTTTCGCACAGTTTAGCTATATGCGGTAGCAGCGTGATCGGCCTGTAGTTGGCAGCTCTACTCCTGTCCTTCCCGGGTTTCGGCAAGACGATGAATTTGCCTTTCTTCCAGTCCTCCGGGAAGTGGGATGTCCGCAATATTCCGTTGTAGAGCCGACCTATCTCTACAAGGACTCTATTGGGCAGCTGTCGTAGTGCAGCGTTGGTAATCCCGTCGTGCCCCGGCGCCTTCCTCGGTTGCAGGCGGGTTACTGTCCTCCGCAGTTCGGCGGGGGAGATGAACCACTCTCCTGCAAGCGGTGGCGCGGGCGGCGACAGGAGCTCCTGCACGCGGCTCTCTTTCCTTGTATGGGATTCCAGGAACTCCGCACTTGCTGGGTTCGGCACAAACTGCTCCTCGAAGTACTCAGCTAGGATATCCGCTCTGCCCTTGGCATCGTAACGTTGAATGCCCGCGTTGTTGGTCAGCGGGCAAACAGGTGGTCGAGTTTTCGTTAACTGCCGGTTCAATGTGTAGAGCGACGCGTGCTGTTCGTCAGCCTTCCATATGCGCCGCTCCCAGGCCTCTCCTCTGTGGGCCTGTATTGCAACCGACAGTTCGTCTGACAGGGTGTTAAGTCTCCAGGGCAGCGAGTACGCGCCCAGAGCTTTCTCAGCGCTCTTTAATGGTTGAGCTGCACGCGTAGTCTTAGCGGCAGCTCTTCTTTTCTCCCCGTGAGAGGGACGATCGTAGAGGCCGCGTTGAGGGCCTCCTGGATGCACGTGGATATTCTAGTTGCAGCGGCCTCTACGTCATCCGCTGAGTTGATCGGCGTATGGACTGGAGGTCTCTCCTGCAGGTGTTGGTGGTAGAGCCTCCAGTCGATCTTGGTCTTGACGGCGGCGGTGAAGTCACTGCCTTAGTGCCAAGGGTTATCAGAATCGGGAGGTGCTGTGTATTCAAGTCACACAGCACTTCTACCACTACTGGGTAGTTGACGTTCCTAGTGAGCACGATGTCTAATACATCCGGACGCTTCCTAGGGTCGCTAGGGATGTGCGTCGGTTCCTCGGGACCTAGAACGTCATAGTCATTGTTTTCTGCATCTTCGTAGAGTTCACGACCCGGCGGGGTGATCACTCTGGACCCCCACGCCGGGTGTTTGGCGTTCAGGTCCCCGGCGATGATGGTGGGTGCCGTACCTTGCATTACCGTCCGGATGTCTGAGGAGTGAAATGGAGTCCCTGGCGGGCGGTATGCTGCAAAGATCCTTAGTTCCTCGCCCGCCGCCTCCATTTTTATGCCGATCGAACGCATCGTCTGGAAGTCTGGCAGGTCCAGCTCCTGGTGGACGATGTCTTTCCTCACCAGGATCGCTGTCCCTCTATAAGCGACCCCTTGAGGATCGACCTCGTCCCTCCTGTAGATGGTGTAATTAGGCAGCTTAAGATGCGTTGTAGGTCGTAATTTGGTTTCACCCAGCAAGATCACCTGGATGTCCTGCTGCTGGGTGACAGTGCGGAGTTCATGGATCCTTTGGCGAATCCCGTCCGGGTTCCAGTAAAGCAGACGCAGGTTGCTATCCTCCGTAGTGCCTTGCCAGTAGCGATGCCAATGCCTTCATGACGGTGGTAACGGGGGCTGGTTGCCTACCCTTCCCTCTGGTGATGGTGGCCCACCCGTCCTCTTGTATGGTGACGGCCTTTGGGCGACTCTGGGGGATCCTCTTAGGGTTCTCCGGGAGTAGCCCAGGTAAAACGATCCCCTGCTTCCTGGCAATCCTCCTCAGGACCGGGCAGCGGCGATCGTTGGCCGTATGGTTCTTGGCGCAAATTGCGCACTTTGGCTCCTCCTCTCTACCCCTTGGGCAAAGGCTGGCAATATGTTCTCCAGCACAGCGAACGCATTTCACTGGCCTGAAACAGTTTGCGGAGGCATGTCCGAAAGCCTGGCAACGGTGACATTGAGCCGGTCCGGTCTTCCTCTGCCAGGCTTCGATGACTACTCCTCTCATATAGAGGAGCTCGTTGATGTGGTATAATTGCTGAAGCTGTTCCAGGCTCAGATGCTCCAGCTGTGCATAGTAGAGGCAGCCCGGTCTGCCCCTACGTGGTGGTATGGCCTTCACATAATTGATGGGGAAGCCCTTTGCCCGAATAGCCTCCTCGATCATCTTGGGATCGGTGCCTACTGGCAGGCCCCGGATGCCCACTTTAGTGGGCTTCTCCTCTGCCGGGGTGTAACAGTACCACGACATGGTTTTATCTTTCTCAGAGAGCTCGACCATATATCTTTGAATGGTACGAAACTCATCCGGGCTCTGCGGTGAAAATCTCACTCCCTTCCCGAACGGACGGGCATTGGGAGGGTGGCCCAACTTCTCGTTGAGCACCTTGAAATGCCTGGTCCAGTCCGGGAGGCATTCTGCGACAATCGGCGGATATCTCGTCTTCTCCTTTTCCTTCTCAGTTTTCTGAGGTTCCTCCGCCGATTGCGGTCGTGGTACTGCAGGGGCCGCAGCCATGTGGGCATAGCTCGTTGACGGCCGCTGTCCATCGTCGTGAGCTAACCCGGACGGGTTGGTGGTTTGTACCGGGGATGATCTTCCGGCTGATGCAGCTAGGGTTGCATATGTTGTTGAGCCCCAGCTATAGGACTCCTCACCTCCTTGCTCAAATTGGGCCGAATCATGGCTATGTCGGTCCGGAGAGATGGATGGTGGCTGTTGCGGTGGTGATGGCGACTTAGGAGGTGAGGTGTGGACCTTCTTCCTAGTCGCTATTTGGGGCTCCTCATCATCCGATGACGCTGATGATGGTTCTGATGATCGTCCAACACGCTGCCTCTTCTCATAGAGGGAGGCCTCGGTTTCCGGTGGTGTATGCCTTCGCGGCGTCTTCATGGGCCGCTGTTGCTGAGAGGGCAGCGGTTCACGCCCAGTCGTACACTCAGGTACGATGGGCGAGAGTGCAACCCTAGGTGCGGACTCCTTACCCGGCGACGAAGATTTCCGGGTCGGTATTTGTGAGTAGGATGAGACGACTCTCATCCTCTCCGGATTGAAAATATCGCGGTAGGCGATGGGTCTATCCAGTATGCCTGGCCGGTCCGGTGGTTTCCTCGATCTCGGAGGAGGTTCCCCCTTATCGTTCCCTGACATATCCCTGACCTAACAGTCAGCGTCAGCGGTAATCTATTTAAGGCCCTATCTATCTTCCAAACGATCGGCAGCAGATATTGATGCACGACGCAGATGGTGGTGATACTGTTGCAGAGACTTTCCACACTGTGGGCACTGCCTACCCCTTTTATAGTAAAAGGGTTGGGGGAAGTGCAAAGGTGGCACTTTAATGCGCGACTAGGCACAGAATGCTCGGAACGCATAAAGTGCCAAGAATCACCTAGGGGCCGGTGACCTCGACGCCTCACGGAATCACGGGACTCAACGATCGGCGGAGTATGTCGTACCGGCGGTCATTTGCAGCCACTGCTAACTAGAAAAGACGCACACCTAGGAGATAGATGTATAGATGAATATATTAATCCGAATGGCCGAATGTAAAAGCTCAAGGAGCTCATAAGTAGTAATAAGCTCTCTGAGCTCAGGAGTAATAAGGATATCCGCAGTAGAACCAGAATAGCCAACATAGCGCACGGATCAGTAAGCTGATGTGGCAATGGGCCTGCTGTATAGCTATAAGACTCGACAACCGATGGGGAAAGCAGTTTTGCATCTTTACTAGATGGAGTAACAATATAGTATGCGTTGCAGGAAGTTGATGGGTGGAGGTGGCTCAGGACCTGTAATGGTTAGTGGTTAACGGATATTTGAAACATAGTATTCACGTAAATACACTTAAAAGTAGAAAAAAAACTTTCAAATAATTTGTGATTTACAAGTATATATATAGAGTTAAACCCTAGTGTGGGATTACTACTTGCGTTGACACTTTGGCGGCCTCTCATCTCAAGGGTAACTCTTTTAGAACCGGAGCGGCATCAGAGGCAGCCGAATTTAGTAAATGGCGCAAATATGTATGAGTCTTTGACTGTATCCATATAACTGTATCCACGACTGGTTGTCGCTGCTGGTGACAAGAGGGCTGGTTCTTTCCTCGCTTAAAGGCTAAGTACAGCTAATCAGCGAGGAAACGCAGCCAGCGTTCTGGGCACGTTTCCACGGGAAGCAGGACTTTTAGACTATTAACATTTTTTGTTAAAGATTTCTATATCATAGTTTCTTTTTTATATTGTGTGTAATTAGTTTTAATTGTAAATATTATAATTTTAATTATTATTTTTAGTTAAGTTGTTGTATTGCCATTGTTGACATTTACCTTTATTTTGAGAAAGTATACATCCGTTCTTCTCGGGTCTTGGCTTTAATTTTTTTGGTTCTACAGTTGTTCTAATAGATAATAATAGATTGTTCATTATCAACTTTGAAACCATCCAACGAATTTTTTGTGTGGCTTTGAATGGGTCCGTAGATGGTTTATATTCACATAATATGGAACCGGTAAGTGGCTCCGTTGTCGACATTCAGAAATCACCCGTGCGAACTGAAGTGACAAACTAAGTGGCTACCGCAGCCGACAGTAAGATAATATTATAAGCTATGTGAAATTTGCAATAGTATATATACCTTCTTAGCTTTGGTAGTAAACTTAGATTTGACAATATCACTTTTGGTACTTTCAATCAGCAGATGTTCGTATTCTTTTTCTAGCGCTTTAAGTTTGTTCTTCTTACTTCGTTTCTCGTATTTAAGTAGATCCAGCATCTTCCGCAGTTCGATCACTTTTAAGTCGACGTTGTGTATTATCTGAGAACAATAAATACGCTTATCAATATATGATGATTTTTACAGACTGTTGGCAACTTTGGTCACATTTTGCAGTTATAGCTATACATAAAAACACAACCTTTCTTGTGTGTAAGGTAATATAATATGTATACGAAATGTCGGGAATTAAAAATTGGTAGAATTAGAGTGTAGGGTACGCGCAAATATAAGAAATCATTAAATGTATATTTATACATGTGATCCTGTTTAGTTTCTAGTAGCTCGTAGCTTAAAAGGTTAGCCGGATTTTAAAGTCCGACGTGTCGTCAAATTCAGCTTCATCCCCAAAGTACCTTAGGCTTCAATAATAGAAATACGATGCGCCCAAAACGTATTATACGTGTTCTGACTCTGTATGTGATTACTTTAAGGTTCAGACGTATGACACGTATAAGTTATTTTATTGTATTAGTTGGCCGCCGCGCCGTAACATGTTTATTTTGATGGAATGTCAAATGCGACTATTAAAGTGACACTACTATAACTACAGTCAGGCTAGTCGCTTTGAATCATAATTTACACATTTTTACATATTTGTGACCTCATGGCTTGAAACCGGTGTAGGCGAGTAGCGTGCGAAAAATCCAGTGCAGTGCTGCGAAAGCCAACGGCAATACGACTTAGATACGATAGGATCTCTTTGGTTAAGGGCGCCGGGGGTGCAAATTAACCTCAGTTAGATTCGGAACTCGGAATAGTCTATAGATGACTTACGTTCCAGGCGGGGTGTTGTGCTCGCTGCTGCTGCTGCGATTTGTTAAGACTCAGTCGGGTGATTTACAAGTTGTAAGCGTTTATTGCCAGGGCAATTAAGGCCTAGTTGTGCAAATATTTTAGATATAACCATGATATGACGCTCGAGACGCTTTTTGAAATAGTATATGCTCGGAAAAAACGTACATAAAATACTCAATTCTGAATCAAATTGATTTATAAAAAGATATATTAATCGAGATAACAAAAAATTATTATTTAATAGCCAGGAAAATCTTTAAATTTCGAGTTCTCGTTTTTAAGGGATAATCAGCAAACTACACATTTCTTAAAATAATTGAACGCACCTTATTACAATGATTGTTGTGATATAAAGAAAAGATGGCAACACATAATTTACTTCATAATATTAAGCATCTTCCTAATATCATTAATGAAAATAAAAACTGTGTTTACCTATACGCCTGCCACGCGTTGCCACTATGGCATATCATCATTACGACGCAATCTATGGGGAGACCTATGCACAGGAGTGGATGTTAATGTCAGACGCAAGCATTAGATTTTTCAGTTTATACCTGATCCCCAGTTTTATTGCCAACTGGACAGACTTCGTTCAGATACTTCTTGATCTGCACCTCTTCTTCGCCGATCAACGCACGAGCTTGGATGAGTTCTTCTATTCTCAATTTTATTTCCTTCTTAAGTGTGTCTATCAGGTCGCTGTTTTGTTTCTTTTCTACTTCGTTTTCTTCGTAGTGTGATTTTCTCTGTCCTTCTGTAATTTTTTTGTAGATATTACCGTCAGTCAGAAATAAGCCCTTCATTACCGATATGAGTTCATCGCAATAAGTGGTATTAACCACATGAGTAATACGGTTTCAAGCTATTGAAATTAAAAAAAAAACATCCTTATTTCAACAGAAAATATCGATGGATGCTAAGATCTGCTTGGAATTCTATAATTTAAAAAACATCATAATAATCTATAATTCATAAATAATAAGAGAGATATTGCATCTCTTTTTGCATATTCTATGGCATCTTCCATAGGAAGTGCTCAAAAGAATTGCTCTGATTAATTCCAGCTACTAAATTTCACCATCGCACATCGCGGCAAATTACGCTATACCATCCATACCATCTGGATGATAGGCGGTCCACGGTCCACCACTGTGCTTATTTAATAAAAGTAAAGATTTACTAAAAAAATTCTTCCTTGCACAACTACCTTTTGGAATCGATTGTTGGGACCTTCAAGAAAAGAGGCAACTCTTTTTAAAAGGCTGGCAAAGTTTCTGCAATTTCTCTGGTGTTGCAGTTGTTGATGAACGCAATAGTCACAATCGGGTGAGCCGCATGTTCGTTTGCTACCTCTTACATATATTAAAAAAAACACATAATTCCTCCTTAAAAACCTGAAAGTAGATATACTCGTATTTTAATAAATTGTGTTGGATACATGAATCTGTTTATAGTGTCTGGGTATGTACTTACGCAAAGTTGTAGGTTGCGTAATTTAATGCGTAAATTAAGTTACTAATTATCGGTTCGACAAACAATCGGTATATCGGTCCGCAACTGGTAATGGACCTCTCCCATTGTAGTTAGTATATATTATTTATGTTATTAGTAGCAGACGATGTGCACACCTTTTAAAAAATGCATGCATTAAATACAAAAACATACTATGTATGTATAATAAATATATTAAGTATGTGTAAGACTTACACTTGTATTTTTAATGTTGTTAACGTTTATATATTTCAGCTTAGCACGAATTAGTTGACTTGATCACGCTCTCATAAAATAGCAGTGTAAAATAGTAGCTCAATGCTGTTAAGGTTTATATATTTCAGCTTACAGTGTAAACTGAAATGTATAAAGCTCACATACGTACTTAAGTTTAGTATATTACATTAATGAGTAATGTAATGTTATATCAAACAAAGATAATATTATATTTTTGAAAGAAAATAGCAACTGTGTAAAATAGTTCCCAAAGGAAAAGCTCAGAAGCTTTTGATAGTCGTAACTTCAGATAAAAGTAATATATATTCTATTAGTTTAAAATGTACGAATGAAATTTGTTGTACTTATATAAGACGTTTAAAACTCTTTTTAAAAGTTCATAGACATTTACGAACCTGATAGTTGTATTTTCTTTTTTATTTCAAATATTTTTGTATTGATTGTAGTAAGACGATCCGCCGTTTCGATTTCAAATGGATGCTTCTGATAACAAAGTGCCATAATTATGTTTTTGTTGTTTTTATATTATTGTAAACAGTCCACACGTTAATATTGTCTGACGGAAATATTGATTAAACAGCATTTAAAATAAATGTTTCTATGTTGCGCATTCAATGAGTTGTTTCTTGTTTTATATTCGTACTATAATAATGATCGTTTTCTATTACATCAGCGATAATAATAAAAGTTAACATTCAATGCTATGTAAGTCCGTTACTACGTAATACTATTATTTATTCTGTTCCGTTACCCTCTTAAAAATTCACCCCATATAGTGATCGTTTTAGTTACTACAACGCCATCTGTGCCATGGTTGATAAACCACAAAGTTTGAAAGCTCCCTGTTGGTTATGAGCGCTACGCGGCGTTGTGTCGCTTGATTTCTCCGTTGAATCAACATTCCTTCGCGTATTTTTATATGTGTGCGTAAAAGCATTCTCACGGCTTAAAATAACATATTAGTATATTGTGTAAGACAAATTACTTGTGTATTGTTTATAAATTATTAAAATACGAATGAAAAAATTATTTTAGAGCTTTTTATAATGAAATATTGCCATTAACAGGCTGCGCACACGCAAACATAGACGTTAGCGGCCATTTTGATTTACCGTACGTTGCGTATTTACGAACAAAAGCAGCCAGATGCGCGCAGGACGCGGTTGCGCATGTTACTACCGGATTTAGTGTATATTAAAACTTAGTTTTACCGCTAAAATGACCAAACATACAATGTTTTCTTCGTAACAACAATTCATAAACAAAATGAAGTGTCAGTTCTTACATTTAGTTCCGTGAGTGTTGATTATTGAGTGTTTAAACGACACAGAAGGAGTAAAACAAATGTGTGTGATCCATGTGTGAATGTTGTGCTTCAAAATGTGGTCGAGAAACTATATACCGGATTATGGGATTAAGTTGCTGTCTATAGGCGTTCTTCTGACGAGCCTGGCGGCGAAAATTCATGGGGTCGAAGGTAAGTTTTCGATTTAGTGGCTGTATGAAATTTTGAAGTGCCTGAGCTTATGAAAGCGCGGCTGCGATGTAATGCGACCGCGGGAAAGATATTGCTCTAAGCAAGGAGCTTTGAGCAGGTTCTTCGTTGCGGCAATCGGTCGGTTAATATCTTGGTTCTCACAGTTGAGGTGCTTGTGAAACTTGTTGTTTTAAAAACCGGAGTGAAGTCAATGTATCGCATTATAAATGTATTTAAAAATTGTGTCGCTTCTGTTGACGTGGAGGTCTTGTAATGAAATAACCCTAATCTTATGATGTCGAATTTATTTAAATCTATAAGACTTCCTATTCCTTATTTTTCCACTAGGTACTGGTAGGGAGTTGTTTTTAGGTCTACTAATATTATTATGAGAAAATTTGCATTAAACATCCAATTTTCATTGTTTCTAACAGTCCATTGTCTTTTTTATAACTCATTAAACCTGACGTTTAATTTTAATTAAAACGTAGGTAGTTTTAAATTTTTAACAATAGACATTTAATTAGTTTATAACTTCTTAATTATTATTTATGATATTTGTTCCAATGTTTTTATATATAATAAAAACATTTCTGTTGCCAAAATTGTCTTCACAGGTAACTTGGCTTTTATTCATGTTAGTTTTTCTATGACAACTTCTTGTTCACAGTTTTATAAATTTCCAAGACTTGATTGAAGTTTAAATTAGTCCTATAAGGATACTATAAAATACAATATGCAATATAAAAATACCATACACAATTATTGCCATTTAAAAACTTACTTACATTTTTAGTGACGTCGGTTACAACTCCTAAGAAAGTATAAACTCAATAATTTTACACAGTTGCTTGTTTATGCAACGTCAATTATCTATTCCTAAAGGGACGATTTTCATATTCCAACGACGCGCATGCAAGGACATTGGACATACTAGATCTTTAAGAGATAAAAACAACAGTTTAATTCCGTACATAGCTCGCACGAAGCGTTCGCCTAAGTCCAACTAGCTGAATACAAATCGTAGCACCCAGCTTTAGTATGCGATACGTCACCACACGATTTCTGTGCTGGGCACCATGGCTGGACTTTTTGAATATTGATCAAGCCTGAACATTGTTGTTTTGTAAAAGAAAGGGACAATTTACCACCAAATTCTCTTTTTTTCTTTCGGGGGAAAGTTTTTTTTTATATTCATAGTGTACATTTCAAAATTAGGCAGTTTATATGCCTACGATGAGTGCGATGACTACTATAAGCAGCGCTATTTCACTTTATTAGTTTAGAAGCCATTTATAAATTATGTTATAGAAACTTGCGAATATCTTACTCCGCAGGTTTTCTTTTAATGATTTTATATAATTAGTTTTACTTTGGTATATTACTTTTTTGGACAAAAAATTGACATGGAGCAGTTTTAAACATATTCGTATACATAATTAATAATACCAATTACTATTGCTATGAAATATTAGTTACTATTTGAAATTAATTATTAAATTTCAAATAGTAACTATGAATATAATGTTTATTATGGCATGAATTCTTTTACGATGATCAAACCATACCTATAGGATAAAGTAGATTTCAGACTACGCTATAATATAATAGCATATAAGTATATAGCTCATAGCACAAAAATGTCGCGCACCATACATTGTTATGGACACGTTTACACTGTACTGTATTATTGGCTTTGTATGGTGCGCGATATTGTTGTGCTATGAGCTACATACTATGCCATATATTATAGCATAGTCTGAAATCCACTTAAAACGCAAAAATGTCGCCATGTTGAATAAGAATAGCCATGCGTTCGTTTTTTAAACAATCGCAATTAACGAGCAATTGTCTGTTGCTGGCCAATTGGAGTCGCGTCTGAGGTCGCCACACAGCATGCATGTCACATATAAATCTCAACTAAGAAGTACCAATTTCTCACTTAATATAAAGGCTGCATCACATTATACATGATATTGTGAATGTATGTAAATCCAAAAATTGTTTTTAACAATTATGGCGTAATGATTGGTCATCCTAATAAGCCTGACTCAACATTTTTCTCGATATTTGTGATTTTAGTAGGCTCTTTTTCAATCATCCCCGTGTTGATAATAGTAGATAACAAAGTACTAATACATCGTATGATATATTGTTGAAATCTGTACTTCAATATATTGTCACTTTATACCACCCTACGCTATGTCATTAAATCCCTGTGATATTAATCTCCAGAATATATTGTATTTTGATATTGTATCCTCTGCAATTACATATATTTGGATCATCAGCTACCACACTCACCCTCTCCGTGTCTGCTTAAGAGATAACTGTCAGTGATGGAAGGACACCGTGGTGGTTCAAGAATAGTTCCGACAAAACCATGATGTGCACAGTTGTGATATTCTTCAAATAAAACCAGAAAAAGATCATGGATTATAACTGTATTCTTTAACTTTGCGTTTGACAATCGTCCACGCTTATCGCCCGCTAGTGTAGCATCTTCCTTATCTTAAGTGCTTTCCGCCACTATACACGTGTTAGGTTGGTTAATTTTCAACCTTATTCCAAACAAGTATTTTGCATACACTGTATTAGACGTCCGCAACTACAACTCAGTTGTGTTTCGAGTCAATCGTGCGTTCGTGTCAAGAAATCGTTCCAGGGAACTTCTTTATTTATTTGTAGCAACCCATGTCTGAGAAACATAAGAATTTTTGAGTAGCTTCATCTGCCACGCGTGAATATTCAACCTTAACAATTCCTCTGGTCAAATTATCAGGGTTTACAGAAGGATAGCGTTATCATGATCAGATGAGCATGATAGACCTGATGACACTCGTCAATTTAGATAAATATGACAGGAATAACCAGTGAAATATTGGCTACACTGCTATTCATACATTTAGACTTACACCAATGATTGATGTATTGTCTATGTTATTTTATCCATTGGCTTGCTAAATCTTTACCGTCGCGTCGGTACGCACTTTTTATAAAAAAAAAAAACTAGCGACCAGGCCCGGCTTTGCACAGGTGATTTCTAGATCTCGACAACATCGCCATCTACCCGGTCCAATTGTTAATCTAAACCATTCTCGAATCAACTTAAGCACACACACAAAATTTCATTAAAATCGACCCGACCGTTTAGGACGAGTTCAGTCACATACACACGGACAGAAGAATTTTATATATAAATATAATGATAACTCGAACACATCTTGCCAAAATTGCTTTAGCTCGATAATCACTGCCGTCGGTACGTATTTTTAATAAACACTGATTAAAAAAAAAAAAAACTAAATCTCAAATCGTGGTAGAGCCGGACTGCAGCCATATTGTGGCTGTAGTTCGAGTTGGTCGCCTCGACCGGGGAAGTACCACGCTCTCACATAACACCAGCGTAAAATACCAGACTAATGCTGCTATTGTTTCATATGGTGAGTGTAGAGAACCGGATACCCGTTTTACTGGAAACTAGGTATTCCACCTTAGTCCTCAGGAGTGACTCAGGAGTGAGTGCATTGATTCTTAATAGAGGGTAAACGTGGATGTCTATGAACCACAGCATCCACTTACCATCAGATGGTCTGAGTGCTCGTTTATCACTTCTATTCTATTAAAAAAATCTTTCCACATTGCCTTTTATTCATATTCAACGTATTAATTACAAAATATTTTTAAATTTCAATATACTCCATGTATAGACGTAACATATCAGACCACACGCAGCACCGACCGCAGCAGAATTGTCGTCTAAAACGTACGTAGTAAAAATTTTGTGTGGCAGTTAGCCTTTTTAGTCGGTTGAGGCTCGTAAAAGCTGTATTTATCTTTATTCATATTATATGAATTATGATGCAGATGTTACGTATTTGGTTTACAACTTATACGTTGTGAGATAATATAGTGGAATATTTTAACTAGATTAGTACAAATTTTTGCGCGGTAGCTTATAATTAGTCTCTGGTTTAAACTAGAATCTGTTTTACAAATGAAGTTTTGCGGAAAATAAACGAATTCAAATGTAAAGTATGGAATTTGACAGCAAATGTTAAATTTCGCAGACTGGCACTACGGCTAAGTGACTTCTTTAGTAATAAAGACCATGGTTTAAATCCGAGAATATCAGTAAACCAAACCCCGTTTTGTAATAGACGAGACGGTTAAAGTTTTAATCATCTTAATTTTTTTTTAATCGCTTCGAACATTTTATGCGCGTCGTTCTAAGAATACTTGCGTACTAACTTAGCCTTATTGGCCACGTACACGATACATATATGCGGGAGCATTATGTAAAATTATTGTTTTGAGGTTTTTTACAACCAGAGACGTTGAGACATGCAGTTTTTTTATTGCGCTGTTAGCACACTATGGTCTGGGAAACGATAGTTTCTCATGCGAAAGTTTTCTATTGTTTATTTGTATTCAGTAGTTTATGTACGAATATTGTCTGAATCGATCCTAATTAGCAACAGGAAGGTGATGACACGCGAGTGCTTCTGTGTACATGCAAGTGTAGACGGCACTATAATATAAGATAGTACCGCCACAATTCAAAGTAATTATGTTATACTTGAAAAAAATTTTGGTATGTATGTTGTTATACTAGCTGTGCTCACAATACGTTGCAATGTTTCTTTTTGATGTAATTTGCCCATATCTATCAATTCTTGGAACGTTGTGCTTGTCCGTAAAGTACCATCTAGCAGCAAACCAGTTCCGCATCCGTGGGGCCCATGGGCCGTGTTTGAACAAGCTGTGCCGATCCTGTTGGCCTATGTTTGTCGGTAAACATCGCCTCATCGCTCGTAGATAACGTGCTCACTGTGAAATATGTTCGCGCTCAGCCTCAACTTAACGGATTCAAGTTAATCAATACTTGGTGATTATTGATTTGGCCTTTCCTAACTTTAATCAATTGTGGTTAGACTCATGGATATATTTTGGATTTTCTGTCTAAAATTAGTTACGGAACAAACTTGGTAATTATTTTT